CACAAGTGGCAAGCATCAACGGTCTGACAGGTGAGCCACACACACACACACAAGTGGCAAGCATCAAAGGTCTGACAGGTGAGCCACACACACATACAAGTGGCAAGCATCAACGGTCTGACAGGTGAGCCACACACACATACAAGTGGCAAGCATCAAAGGTCTGACAGGTGAGCCACACACACACAAGTGACAAGCATCAACAGACTGACAGGTGAGCCACGCATACACAAGTGGCAAGCATCAACGGACTGACAGGTGAGCCACACACATACAAGTGGCAAGCATCAATGGTCTGACAGGTGAGCCACACACATACAAGTGGCAAGCATCAACGGACTGACAGGTGAGCCACACACATACAAGTGGCAAGCATCAACGGTCTGACAGGTGAGCCACACACAGACAAGTGGCAAGCATCAACGGTCTGACAGGTGAGCCACACACATACAAGTGGCAAGAATCAACGGTCTCACAGGTGAGCCACACACACAAGTGGCAAGCATTAACGGACTGACAGGTGAGCCACACACATACAAATGGCAAGCATTAACGGACTGACAGGTGAGCCACACACATACAATTGCAAGCATCAATGGTCTGACAGGTGAGCCACACACACAAGTGGCAAACATCAATGGTCTGACATGTGAGCCACACACACACAAGTGGCAAGCATCAATGGTCTGACAGGTGAGCCACACACATACAAGTGGCAAGCATCAATGGTCTGACAGGTGAGCCACAGACACACAAGTGGCAAGCATCAACGGTCTGACAGGTGAGCCACACACATGCAAGTGGCAAGCATCAATGGTGTGACAGGTGAGCCACAGACACACAAGTGGCAAGCATCAACGGTCTGACAGGTGAGCCACACACATACAAGTGGCAAGCATCAACAGACTGACAGGTGAGCCACACACATACAAGTGGCAAGCATCAACGGTCTGACAGGTGAGCCACACACATACAAGTGGCAAGCATCAACTGTCTGACAGGTGAACCACACACATACAAGTGGCAAGCATCAATGGTCTGACAGGTGAGCCACACACATACAAGTGGCAAGCATCAACGGTCTGACAGGTGAGCCGCACACACAAGTGGCAAGCATCAACGGACTGACAGGTAAGCCACACACATACACAAGTGGCAAGCATTAATGGTCTGACAGGTGAGCCACACACATACAAGTGGCAAGCATCAACGGACTGACAGGTAAGCCACACACATACACAAGTGGCAAGCATCAATGGTCTGACAGGTGAGCCACACACATACAAGTGGCAAGCATCAAAGGTCTGACAGGTAAGCCACACACATACACAAGTGGCAAGCATAAATGGTCTGACAGGTGAGCCACACACAGACAAGTGGCAAGCATCAATGGTCTGACAGGTGAGCCACAGACACACAAGTGGCAAGCATCAAAGGTCTGACAGGTGAGCCACACACATACAAGTGGCAAGCATCAACGGTCTGACAGGTGAGCCACACACACACAAGTGGCAAGCATCAACGGTCTGACAGGTGAGCCACACACAGACAAGTGGCAAGCATCAATGGTCTGACAGGTGAGCCACAGACACACAAGTGGCAGGCATCAATGGTCTGACAGGTGAGCCACATACATACAAGTGGCAAGCATCAATGGTCTGACAGGTGAGCCACAGACATACAAGTGGCAAGCATCAATGGTCTGACAGGTGAGCCACATACATACAAGTGTCAAGCATCAATGGTCTGACAGGTGAACCACATACATACAAGTGGCAGGCATCAACGGTCTGAGAGGTAGGCCACATACACACAAGTGGCAAGCATCAACGGTCTGACAGGTGAACCACACACACACAAGTGACAAGCATCAACGGTCTGACAGGTGAACCACACACATACAAGTTGCAAGCATCGACTGTCTGACAGGTGAACCACACACATACAAGTGTTAGTTAGTTAGTTAGTTAGTTAGTTAGTTGGGTTATCCTCATTGCACTCCGGACATGTCCATAGGTACTCAGATCCTCCCCTCAGTATGAACCCCAACGTCCGATGGCTAATAGTACAGTTCTATGTTGATTAACAAGTCTTCTGGCGTAGCTGCGTCAATCTTAATTCCCAAGTCTGCCATTCTGGCGAGTGATGTGGATTCACTGCCACCAAAGTCCTCTATTCTTCCCATTTCTCTGAGGGCATTGATAATATCAGCATGATCCATAGGCTGACCGTCGGTAGTGATAGCGGATCCAGCCAACCTGTCAGCTCTTTCATTTCCATCGACGCCTGCGTGTCCCGGAACAAAAATAAAGGTGACTCCACGAACAGTGGATTTCTGTAATGATTCAAGCCATTGTCTTCGCACTGAACCTGCCTGAACCCTCCGGATCATACTCATTGAATACAAGTGGCAAGCATCAATGGTCTGACAGGTGAGCCACACACATACAAGTGGCAAGCATCAACGGACTGACAGGTGAGCCACACACATACAAGTGGCAAGCATCAACGGACTGACAGGTGAACCACACACATACAAGTGGCAAGCATTAACGGTCTGACAGGTGAGCCACACACATACAAGTGGCAAGCATCAACGGACTGACAGGTGAGCCATACACATACAAGTGGCAAGCATCAACGGACTGACAGGTGAGCCACACACATACAAGTGGCAAGCATCAACGGACTGACAGGTGAGCCACACACACACACAAGCATCAACGGACTGACAGGTGAGCCACACACATACAAGTGGCAAGCATCAACAGACTGACAGGTGAGCCACACACACACACAAGCATCAACGGACTGACAGGTAAGCCACACACACACACACACAAGTGACAAGCATCAACGGACTGACAGGTAAGCCACACACATACACACAAGTGGCAAGCATCAACGGTCTGACAGGTGAGCCACACACATACAAGTGGCAAGCATCAAAGGTCTGACAGGTAAGCCACACACATACACAAGTGGCAAGCATCAATGGTCTGACAGGTGAGCCACACACAGACAAGTGGCAAGCATCAATGGTCTGACAGGTGAGCCACACACACACAAGTGGCAAGCATCAATGGTCTGACAGGTGAGCCACACACACAAGTGGCAAACATCAATGGTCTGACAGGTGAGCCACACACACACACACACACAAGCATCAAACTGACAGGTGAGCCACACACATACAAGTGGCAAGCATCAAAGGTCTGACAGGTGAGCCACACACATACAAGTGACAAGCATCAACGGACTGACAGGTGAGCCACACACACACAAGTGGCAAGCATCAACGAACTGACAGGTGAGCCACACACATTCAAGTGGCAAGCATCAACGAACTGACAGGTGAGCCACACACATTCAAGTGGCAAGCATCAACTGTCTGACAAGTGAGCCACACACACACAAGTGGCAAGCATCAATGGTCTGACAGGTGAGCCACACACATACAAGTGGCAAGCATCAACGGTCTTACAGGTGAGCCACACACACACAAGTGGCAAGCATCAACGGTCTGACAGGTGAGCCACATACATACAAGTGGCAAGCATCAACTGTCTGACAGGTGAGCCACAGACATACAAGTGGCATGCATCAATGGTCTGACAGGTGAGCCACATACATACAAGTGGCAAGCATCAACTGTCTGATAGGTGAGCCACAGACATACAAGTGGCAGGCATCAACGGTCTGACAGGTGAGCCACATACATACAAGTGGCAAGCATCAACTGTCTGACAGGTGAGCCACAGACATACAAGTGGCAGGCATCAATGGTCTGACAGGTGAGCCACATACATACAAGTGGCAAGCATCAACGGACTGACAGGTTAGCCACACACATACAAGTGGCAAGCATCAATGGTCTGACAGGTGAGCCACACACATACAAGTTGCAAGCATCGACGGTCTGACAGGTGAGCCACACACATACAAGTGGCCAGCATCAACGGACTGACAGGTGAGCCACACACACACACAAGCCTCAACAAACTGACAGGTAAGCCACACACACACACACAAGTGACAAGCGTCAACGAACTGACAGGTAAGCCACACACACACACAAGTGGCAAGCATCAACGGACTGACAGGTAAGCCACACACATACACAAGTGACAAGCATCAACGGACTGAGAGGTAAGCCACACACATACAAGTGGCAAGCATCAACGGACTGACAGGTGAACCACACACATACAAGTGGCAAGCATTAACGGTCTGACAGGTGAGCCACACACATACAAGTGGCAAGCATCAACGGACTGACAGGTGAGCCACACACATACAAGTGGCAAGCATCAACGGACTGACAGGTGAGCCACACACACACACACAAGCATCAACTGACTGACAGGTAAGCCACACACACACACACACACAAGTGACAAGCATCAACGGACTGACAGGTAAGCCACACACACACACACAAGTGGCAAGCATCAACGGACTGACAGGTAAGCCACACACACACACAAGTGGCAAGCATCAACGGACTGACAGGTTAACCACACACATACAAGTGGCAAGCATCAACGGACTGACAGGTGAGCCACACACATACAAGTGGCAATCATCAACGGACTGACAGGTGAGCCACACACACACACACAAGCATCAACGGACTGACAGGTGAGCCACACACATACAAGTGGCAAGCATCAACGGACTGACAGGTGAGCCACACACACACACAAGCATCAACGGACTGACAGGTAAGCCACACACACACACACACAAGTGACAAGCATCAACGGACTGACAGGTAAGCCACACACACACACACACACACACACAAGTGGCAAGCATCAACGGACTGACAGGTAAGCCACACACATACAAGTGGCAAGCATCAACGGACTGACAGGTAAGCCCCACACATACACAAGTATCAACGGACTGACAGGTGAGCCACACACACAAGCATTAACGGACTGACAGGTGAGCCACACACACACACACACAAACATCAACGGTCTGACATTGTTTACCTCGACCCATTGAGGCTTGTATGGTTCTTATCCCCAGCTTGAGCCTCAGATTCTCCATCTCCTCGCGCCTCTGTATCCACAAGTACTCGTTGTTGAGCTTGTTCCACTGGGCCTCGTCGTAGTGGAACTCCTGGGGTGGCACCATGGGCGGGGTGGCCAGGGACTTGCAGTGGCACCACAGGGTGAGCCCCAACAGAGAGTGATAGAGCATCAGCAAGACGCCGGCTTCCACTGGCACGTCGCAGCTAAAGTAACACAGGCAGATGACGTATACGTAGTAAGTCCACAACATCAACACAATCTCTGCAACCACCGGCACCCAGGCAACAAATCTCACACGGTTAGCCTCGCCTTTAGAGAGCAGATAGCACATTGTTCGGCGTGCTTGTGTCAAGCGCGCCCCGTGGTCTCCAGATGATAGCTTGCTACCGTATTTTGAGTCCTAGCTAGTAGGCCTCCATTGCTAGTGTGTTGCCGGAAATGGACATGACGTGAGGAGATTCCTTCCGTCCACACAGCGGGCCCGTCACTGTCTGGCTTTGAGAGTTGTCTCCAGACACCGGTAGATTAGTGTTACAGTTACTTCGCCGTAGGGACATTCCCAGCACATCGGTGCCACCCATTGGTGCTCAGTGCTCCCATGCTGCAGCCATCTCAATGTCTCCATGCTCACTGTATTTAGCAGGCTTTGATGGCCTTACCTTCTTTCTTTGCCACACAACTGGTTTCTGAATGCGAGTCCTCATCTAACACCCATCTCCAGCAGGCCGTACATCGCCGCTGACTCATTTGTCTAAGTCAATAAGCAGTCTGCTCCACACTTCCTGGGCAAATCAATATGCTGGGCCCCGAGGACAACTCACAGCTTAGGCATGTAAATGGTCAAGAGGTTTAAACATATATTTATTTTTATCGGCACTTCAACAAAACTAGTGAAGGATGTCGACAAGAACAGAACTAGAACCCACAGTTGACTTCAGGATATAAACCCACAGCTGACTTCAGTATATGAACCTACAGCTGACTTCAGTATATGAACCCCCAGCTGACTTCAGGATATGAACCCACAGCTGACCTCAGGATATGAACCTACAGCTGACTTCAGTATATGAACCCACAGCTGACTTCAGGATATGAACCTACAGCTGACTTCAGTATATGAACCCACAACTGACTTCAGGATATGAACCCACAGCTGACTTCAGTATATGAACCCACAGCTGTCTTCAGTATATGAACCTACAGCTGACTTCAGGATATGAACCTACAGCTGACTTCAGTATATGAACCTACAGCTGACTTCAGGAAATGAACCCACAGCTGACTTCAGGATATGAACCCACAGCTGACTTCAGGATATGAACCCACAGCTGACTTCAGGATATGAACCTACAGCTGACTTTCAGTATATGAACCCACAGCTGACTTTAGGATATGAACCCACAGCTGACTTCAGGATATAAACCCACAGCTGACTTAGGATATGAACAGACAGCTGACTTCATGATATGAACCCACAGCTGACTTCAGTATATGAACCCACAGCTGACTTCAGTATATGAACCTACAGCTGACGTTAGTATATGAACCCACAGCTGACTTCAGTATATGAACCTACAGCTGACTTCAGGACATGAACCCCCAGCTGACTTCAGGATATGAACCTACAGCTGACTTCAGGATATGAACCCACAGCTGACTTCAGTATATGAACCTACAGCTCACTTCAGGATATAAACCACCAGCTGACTTCAGGTCATGAACCCACAGCTGACTTCAGGATATGAACCTACAGCTGACTTCAGTATATGAACCTACAGCTGACTTCAGTATATGAACCCACAGCTGACTTCAGGATATGAACCCCACAGCTGACTTCAGAATATGAACCTACAGCTGACTTCAGATATATGAACCTACAGCTGACTTCAGGATATGAACCCACAGCTGACTTCAGGATATGAACCTACAGCTGACTTCAGGATATAAACCCACAGCTGACTTCAGGATATGAACATACAGATGACTTCAGGATAGAACCTACAGCTGACTTCAGGACCATGAACCCACAGTGACTTCAGTATATGAACCTACAGCTGACTTTTAGTATATAAACCCACAGTGACTCAAGATAATCTAACCCACAGCTGACTTCAGGATATGAACCTACAGAACTTTCAGGATATGAACCTACCAGCTGACTTCAACGCGATATGAACACCCAGCAGCTGACTTCAGATATGAACCTACAAACTTGACTTCATTATATGAAACCTACAGCTGGACTCACTGATATGCAGGACGATACAGCTGTGCTCAAGGAATTACACTGACCCAAAACTGACTTCAAGATATGAACCTCAGGCTGGACTTCAGGATAACCCTGAACCTACAGCTGACTTCCGGGTATAAACCACCAGCTGACTCCAGGGTCATGAAACCACAGGGGGGACTTCAGGATATGAACCTACAGCCTGACTCCAGTATATGAACCATGAACTATAATGGAATCAGCTGAAGGGTTGCGGATATGATACTACCCAGCCAAAGCTGACTTCAGAAATATGAACCTACAGCTGACTTCAGGATATAAACAAAACAGCCTGACTTCAAGACATATGACACCTTACAGCTGACTTCAGTCGGAGGGGACCCCATGGAACTATGACTTCAACATATTCTTGACAACAGTCTCACTTCAGTAATGAACCCACAGGAACTTCAGGAGAAACTTCAGGCAGATCCCGTCAGGATATACAATAGTACAGCAAGATTTGGCAACGGATCAAGAACAGTTGTGTTTCAAGGTCGAAGGGGACTGCATATGTGGTCTCACTATATTTAGATGAATTAAGAGTTATATCTAGCAATCTAAACTGTTGGAATGGGGAAAAAATGGCAGGAAACATTACGACAGTTGTATGACATAATGTGCATCAACCACCCGTTTGGCAGAACGACGCAGATTTGAATGTTCAAACTCTGAACACATCCGTGTCGTATGGGTCTCGCTGACTGCTGCAGACGATTATGGTGTGCTAAAGCACATTACACTGCAAAACTGACTGATCAAGATATGCCCGGCATCTCTAGCAAAGTTGGTTAACAAATGGACTTTCATGGCCGGGTGGTCGATACCCTCTGGTCAGGGTTCAATCCCGCGGCGAGGCAGAAATAGCCACTATTTCTCCAGATTAACGGTAATGATAATGACTATGCAATGGAATCAATGCCCAAAAGGTTGCGCATATCCATAGTACGTTACCGAGCAGTAATCCCCACAACAATCTAGGCCACGGAACGGGCATGATGAAAATTTTCACTGGCAGTAATGAAAGGACAGTCAAGACACCAGAGTTTATCAACACAATGGCCCCACTGAACAACGATGGTACTGGTCAAGTGACCCCATACCCACAATGCACCTGCATTTGTAATGACTGAGCATGTCATATCCACCACTTTGGGCAGAAATCCAGTCAGTTATCCCAACAATAGTCCACCAGCATACAACAATGGGCAATGAATGACTGGCAGTACCCCACATAAACCCACCGAGCTTGGGCATGAACAATGACTGGCAGTACCCCATACCCACCAGCTTGGGCATGAAATGACTGGCAGTACCCCATACCCACCAGCTGTGGGCATGAAATGACTGGCAGTACCCCATACCCACCAGCTTGGGCATGAAATGACTGGCAGTACCCCATACCCACCAGCTTGGGCATGAAATGACTGGCAGTACCCCATACCCACCAGCTTGGGCATGAAATGACTGGCAGTACCCCATACCCACCAGCTTGGGCATGAAATGACTGGCAGTACCCCACACCCACCAGCTTGGGCATGAAATGACTGGCAGTACCCCATACCCACCAGCTGTGGGCATGAAATGACTGGCAGTACCCCATACCCACCAGCTTGGGCATGAAATGACTGGCAGTACCCCATACCCACCAGCTTGGGCATGAAATGACTGGCAGTAGCCCATACCCACCAGCTTGGGCATGAAATGAAAGGCAGTAGCCCCATACCCACCAGCTGTGGGCATGAAAATGACTGGCAGTACCCATACACCCACTACTTGGGCATGAAATGACTGGCAGTACCCCATACCTTTGGGCATGAAATGACTGGCAGTAGCCCATACCCACCAGCTTGGGCATGAAATGACTGGCAGTACCCCATACCCACCAGCTTGGGCATGCAATGACTGGCAGTACCCCATACCCACTAGCTTGGGCATGGATAATAGTCTTGGTGTATTAGAAGCAAAGCAGAGAGGGTATCTTGTAATGGAGGAAAAGAGAAGAGATACCTATAAAGGAAATCTACTCCTTGAAATCTCCTTGACTCCTGCAATGATTCTGTTCTTATTATCTTTGGCTCCAGTCACTTGCAGACTCCCATCCATGCGCTGACAGTCAACACACGAGTAAACATGGACGACGGTGAACGATACATTGTGGTGTCATTCTTTATTTGTTCACTCGCTGTTTCTTCAGCCAGTACATGTAAGGGTACAACACAGTCACTCATATCTATCCTAACTCACTGAAAGTATCAACTATACCTTGGTTTGAAACATTTTCATCACCACAGCAATTGAAAGATAACGACTATTTTCCATCCGAGCAAACACACACAATCAGCTGGCTGCGGGGTTGCCGTCAGTGGTTGCTATTTGGCCAAGTAGGCGTTGGGAAACTCTGGCATATCAGACTCTCTGGATGCAACAGACACTCCTCCAAACTTCATGTATTCATTTCCTAGGCCTAAACGAGACTGCCCACATGCTCTTTCTAAGGCATTATGTAACCTTCTAACCCCACATTACAATAATGACTTGTTCATGTTCTTAGATTCATACGGGTTCCGTTTGGCCAACATTTTCAACATAAATAACCTATCGAGGAGAAAATGGTTCACTACAACTCGAAACCTACAAGAGTTCTAACAATGTGACGTGGCCAGTGGGAGCTAAAACCTAGCCTTAAGCTGCCTCAGTAACAAGAAAAAAAAGAGCAAAAGTTCGTTTAGGCAGGGGTAAGATCAAAAGTATCTCACCCTGACAGAAAATCTTTTGTGTAAAGTCTAGATCAGCCAAGCAACAAATACTAAACTAGGCACACTAACTACAAGTCCTAATGTAAACGAAAAACAACTGGAACTATGATTACTACATTGAACATCTGTTTATTTCACTTAATATAAAATCAGTGTGGTCCACAAATAATATTAACAACAACCAATGTGCTCGACCAGAATCTAAAGCGATCATCAGCTAACAAGAAAATATGATAATGACACCACACACTCAGCAAGATTACCTCAACAATGGCAAAAACCAAAACATATTTAACATGGGCG